CAGTAGCAGACCTAGCACAGAGTACATATAATATTTATTTGATGAATGAATGAACAGCCAAATGCACTAGTGAGTTTTTATAAGGTGGTTCTGAAAGTATGTTCAACTCAAAGCCCTTCTGCCCATTTATATCAGAGTTACCGAGTACAAATATATATATATGTTTATATGTGTGTGTGTGTATATATATGTACATTCCATAGAGGTTGATCAGGAAAGACGACACAGTAAGAGTGGAGGCAGAGAACTAAGGGGTGAGAGTGAGAAAGAACATCTTCTGCCTAGAGAAAGAGAATCACACTCTTTAAACATGTACACAAAGTGTGCTTTGTGCCTTTTTTCCTTGCTGTCTTTTACTTATTATAAAACATTATAAAACATGATTCAGGGTCTTAGGCTTTAATGTGGGAGAACAGACAAGTAAAGCTGAACCACGTGATAAACACAGCCTGATCAGGGCAGGACTTCCCTATAAGGACATATCCTGAGTTCTAAAACAATATGGCACAGGAGACTGAAAAGCTAATCAGGAAAACTTGGAAAAGTAAAGCAAGTATTTCAGCAGCCCACACTACTAAGGAGAGAAGATTAGAGTTCAGGTTCCACCAGGATAAGAGGACTGGTAAACACCCCAGGGTCTTTTGTGGATTACGCGGGAGGCTGTGTCTTTTTTTTTTTTTAAGACAGAATCTCGTTCTATTGCCCAGGCTGGAGTGCAGTCGCACAATCTCGGCTCGCTGCGGCCTCCGCCTCCCAGGTTCAAGTGATTCTCCTGCGTCAGCCTCCCAAGTAGCTGGGATTATAGGCACCCACCACCATGCCTGGCTAATTTTTGTATTTGTAGGAGAGACGAGGTTTTACCATGTTGCCCAGGCTGGTCTTGTACTCCTGACCTCAGGTGATCTTCCTGCCTCGGCCTCCCAAAATGCCAGGGTTACAGGCGTGAGCCACTGTGCCTGGCCAAGGTTGTGTCTTAAAAGTGAAGCAAATCAGAGGTAGTCTGAATCTTACCAGAACTGTACCTCTTCCCCATCTCTAAGATGAGCACCCACCAGTATCACCACACACACTCTCTCACTCTCTCTCTCTTTCTCTCTCTGTCTCTCTCTTCCCTCCCCTCCCTCTGTCAACACATTAGCAGGCTAATGATATCATCTGAAGCCTTTTATAGTTGTCAGACATTTAATCAAATTTTGGCATGACAAACAAAAACAAACACATACCCAAACAAAAAGACAAAACATCAAATGACAGAAACAGATCCAAAGTTAATCCAGATATTGGAATCACTTAAAGTCTTTATAAGCTATGGTTAACATGCTGAAGAATTAGAGGAAAAGATGGCAAATACAGGAAGAGATGAAAAATACAGATTTTTTTTTTTTTTTTTTTTTTTTGAGACAGAGTCTCGCTCTGTCACCCAGTCTGGAGTGCAGTGGTGCAATCTCGGCTCACTGCAAGCTCCACCTCCCAGGTTCAGCCATTCTCCTGCCTCAGCCTCCCGAGTAGCTGGGACTACAGGTGCCCGCCACCACGCCTGGCTAATTTTTTGTATTTTTAGTAGAGACAGGGTTTCACTGTGTTAGCCAGGATGGTCTTGATCTCCCGACCTCATGATCCACCCGCCTTGGCCTCCCAAAGTGCTGGGATTACAGGTGTCAGCCACTGTGCCCACCCTAGATTTTTTTTTATGTCGGGAATTTAGCCGGAGGAGTATAATCTAAAAAGAAATAAAATGAAAATTCCATACTAGATAAATAACTAAAATTAAGTACTTAATAGATGGGCTTCAGCAGCCAATTAGGCACAGGAAATTTAGTAAACTGGAAGACAGTTAAACAGAAAATAAGAGTTTAGTGTAAATTAAAGAGCAATTTCATGCAACACTGATTTATATGATGATAAGAAAAATAATAATAAGAGCCCGGCCGGGCACAGTGGTTCACACCTGTAATCCCAGCACTTTAGGAGGCCAAGGCTTCACCTGAGAGCACAAGTTCGAGACCAGCTTGGCCAACATTGTGAAACTCCATCCCTACTAAAAATAGAAAAAATTAGCCAGGCATGGTGGTGGGTGCCTCTAATCCCAGCTACTTGGGAGGCTGAGGCAGGAGAATCGCTTGAACCTGGGAGGCAGAGGTTGCAGTGAGCCAAGATGATAAACTACAAGATGAGCCATATTGCTTTTTGTATTTTCCTCAGATTTACAGTCACAACGATGAAATGATTTAAAATGCAGGTAAACTGGGAAGGGAAGAAAGATCGCACCATTGCACTCCAGCCTAGGCAACAAGAACGAAACTCCGTCTCAAAAAACAAGAGCGTACTATGTGCTTGCAACTATTCTAGGCATATTATAGTTAATACCTATATAAATTTATAAGGCAGTACAATATTAAGCATAACATAGCTAATTTCTGTATAAGTCTATGAGGCAGGTATTAATATTTCCTTTTTACATATAAAAAAACTGAAACATGGACTTTAGATCATTTTCTAAGATCACACAGCTATGAAATTCTGCATAAGTCAGAATTCAAACTGAGGCAGTTTGGTTCTAGAATCCATGTAATCAGTACATTATAATGCAGTAATTAATAACAAATGAAGCTTGATGAGGTGTTTGCCTTTGAGACGGAGTTTCCCTCTTGTTGCCCAGGCTGGAGTGCAATGGTGCAATCTTGGCTCACTGCAACATCTGCCTCCTGGGTTCAAGCGATACTCCTGCCTCAGCCTCCCGACTAGCTAGGATTACAGGCGCCCATTACCACGCCCAGCTAATTTTTTTGCATTTTTATTGAGACAGGGTTTCACTATGTTGTTTTTGTTTTTGTTTTTGTTTTGAGACAGAGTCTCGCTGTGTTGCCCAGGATGAAGTGCAGTGGCACCATTTTGACTCACCACAACCTCCACCTCTTGGGTTCAGCGATTCTCCTGCCTCAGCCTACCAAGTAGCTAGGACTACAGGTGCATGCCACCATGTCTGGCTAATTTTTGTATTTTTATTAGAGACAGGGTTTCACTATGTTGGCCAGGCTGGTCTCAAACTCCGGACCTCGTGATCAGCCTCCCAAAGTGCTGGGATTATAGGCGTGAGCCACCGCGCCTGTCTTTGTATTTGTATTTCTTACTCTCATTTTGAATTAAATCCCTCTCAATATATTGAGAGGGAATTAATATTTAGTCACTACTCTAATCCAATCTGACCTTGTAAATAGTTTAAAATTAAACTATAAGATGAGCCATATGCTTTTTGTATTTTCCTCAGATTTTGTACATCTGAGGAAAGCTTGGTCAGTTGGCCAACACAGTCACAACGATGAAGTGACTCAAGATGCAGGTAAACTGGGAAGAGAAGAAAGACTCTCCAGTGCCAGAAAATTCAAACCTGGCCAGGCACAGTGGCTCATGCCTGTAATCCCAGCACTCTGGGAGGCCGAGGCAGGTGGATTACCTGAGGTCAGGAGTTCGAGACCAGCCTGATTAACATGGTGAAACCCCATCTCTACTTAAAAAAGAAAAAAATTAGCCGGGGATGGTGGCACATGTATGTAGTCCCAGCTACTCGAGAGGCAGAGGCAGGAGAATCGCTTGAACCTGGGAGGCGGAGGTTGCAGTGAGCTGAGATCACGCCACTGCACTCCAGCCTGGGTGACAGAGCAAGACTCCGTTGTGAAAAAAAAGAAAGAAAAGAAAATTCAAACCTATAAAATTATGGCACACATAGCATAAAATCATGGAAGATAAATATTGATTACAAATACTCAACCAAGAAGAAAATGGCAGCACTACCTAAAGACTTTTCAACTTCTTATGAAACCTGCATGGGATGCAGAAAATACATTTTTAGCTGGGCGCTGTGGCTCACATCTGTAATCCTAGTACTTTGGGAGGCCAAGGCGGGTGGATCTCCTGAGGTCAGGAGTTGGAGACCAGCCTGACCAACAGTGAGAAACCCCATCTCTACTAAAAATACAAAATTAGCCGGGCGTGGTGGTGCACGCCTGTAATCCTAGCTACTAGGGAAGCTGAGGCAGGAGAATCGCTTGAACCCGGGAGGCACAGGTTGCGGTGAGCCAAGATTGCGCCACTGTATTCCAGCCTGTGCAACAAGGGTGAAACTTTGTCTCAAAAAAAAAAAAAAAAGAAAATACATTCTTAAAACTGCATGTGACAGAAGAGTTTAAGGTGGGCTCAGCACTTATATCCCGTGCAGAATTACAGTATGACTTCTGAAACCACTCAGACAAGAACATCTTTCCTTTCTTATCGATTGTTGAGGAAGCCGCCTACAAGACTTCTCTAAGTTTCAATTGCCCTGACCTCTGCTTATCCAGAATGGGAATTTTTAGTGACAGGACACAAAAAATGCTGGAAAAAAAACTGTAGAAGTTGTCTTCTGGCACCTTGCCAATAGAAATAAAGCTTACCAAAAAGTTTTAAATTCAAGAACAACCACTGCCTATACTCAGAAGATAAACCACTTTTCTTTCCTTGAACATCTGAACCTGAAGCCTTTTTTAAAGCCTGTATTCCTGGGTCTTGCTTTTTAGGAAACATATATTAAAGGACTTCTTATAATATCTAAAAAGCTAACACACACTGCACAATGTTACTCTGCATACTACATCTAATGTGGGCAAAGGAGTCAAACCTGGGTTCTGACTTCTGGACATTGACACAGGGATCCCATGTTCTTCCCAGGCATCATCTTTCATAACAGTGAGACCCATCACATTTCCAGGAAACATGCAAGACTAAGTTCTGGAAGCTTTAGGTCACAGCACTAATTTAGCTTCTTCAGCAGGAATTTAAAGAAAGTTCTTCAAACTATGAAAAATGGACAGAGTTCAGTGGCTCCACCTGTAATCCCAACACTTTGGGAGGCAAACACAGGAGGATCACTTGAGCCTATGAGTTTGAGACCAACCTGGACAACATAGTGAGACCCTATCTCTTAAAAAAAAAAAACTGTTAACTTTGTTATAAAAAATGCTTACCTTTGAATATTTCTGTAACTCAGCATCATCTGCAATCTGTGTGTCCAAAGTAGCAACCTAAATTTACAAAAAAAAATTTCTAGTATTTGTAAAAACATAACTGTATTTCTTCCTACATTTTCTGAAAATATCTGTAAAACCTATATATTGATAACTCTATTTGACTTACATTCTAATACCTTTCTTATATTTTTGAAATCTACAACACATAATGTGAAATTTCAGAGTATATTTGACTTTTTTGTTGTTGTTCTCCACAACAATCTTTTTCCCTAAATTGCATAAATTGAACAGAAGGTGATGGGCAAATATATATACTATTTTTTTTAAATACCTAAATGATATGCCAAATATGTTTTCATTTGGTTATAAAGAGGTTTATAGATTACTTGTATATCATCTCATATGGTTATGTCCTGCCTGGGTTTTTCTTTAAATTATTATTATTATTCTTATATTTTAAGTTCTAGGGTACATGTGCACAACGTGCAGGTTTGTTACATATGTATACTTGTGCCATGTTGGTGTGCTGCACCCATCAACTCGTCAGCACCCATCAACTCGTCATTTACATCAGGTATAACTCCCAATGCCATCCCTCCCCCCTCCCCCCATACTATTTTTAAAAATCCATGATCCCTAAAATTTTAATATAATCCTCCATTAGGCTAAATGCATAAAAATTTTACTCTTGAAAAAATCAAGAATATGGCCATTTTTACTTTCAAATTCAAGCCTCAAAACAAAATTTGCAAGGTCAGTAAAGTCAGATGTGTTTGGAAAAACTAAAGCATCTGACTTTCCACAACAAGCTCAAACCATTTCCCCAGGAGAAATAGCTGGCAAAGACACAAACAGAAAGACCTGGTCCCTGGTGGAAAGCTCATGGAATACTTAAAGCTTTTAATCCTGGCCTAAAACTATTCTAAGCTTCAATCGTGGACATCCACAGAAATGAATTCCTTGCAAGCAAAAGTATGTTACTGATGATTTGCATCTGTAACTTGTTAATAAAATATGATGCATCTGGCAGGAAGGGATAAGTTAAACAATGACCCAACTACAGCTTCTGAAAGTACCGCATTTCAGATAAGCAGATTCTGGAAGAAAATGAAATAAGAAATATTGGAGTACATGCATTCATTCACTCTCCATCATGCCTGGCTTCTTTCTGCCAACTATTCCTTGGTACAAGATGCTACAACTTTTAATGGATAGCTGTCACTTTAAATTTCCAACTTCAAATTCTGTCTCCTCTTTATAATTTGTCTGTTATGACCTCACCATGTAATAAATAAATGAAATTTTAAAGTTTAGTTATAAGGGGAATAAAATTTTAACAGAAGGCTGGCAGTGGCTCATGTCTGTAATCCCAGAACTTTGGGAGGCCAAGGAGGGTGGATCACTTGAGCCTAGCAGCTCGAGATCAGACTGGGCAACACAGTGAGACACCATCTCTAAAAAAAAAATTGAAAAATTAAGTGAGCGTGGTGGCTCATGCTTGTAGTCCCAGTCAGTCAGAAGGCTGAGGTGGGAGGATCGCTTGAGCCCAGGAAGTTGAAGCTGCAGTGAACTATGATTGTACCACTGCATTCCAGTCTGGGCAACAAAGCAAGACCCTGTCTCTCAAAAAATCGTTTTTTGCTTTTTGTTTTTTGTTTTTGGTTTTGAGGTGGAGTCTCCCTCTTTCGGCCAGCCATAGTGCAGTGGCACAATCTCGGCTCACCACAACCTCCGCCTCCTGGGTTAAGCAATTCTCCTGCCTCAGCTTCCCAAGTAGCTGGGATTACAGGTGCCCACTATCACACCCAGCTAATTTTTGTATTTTTAGTAGATACAAGGTTTCACCCTATTGGCCAGGCTGGTCTCAAACTCCCAACCTCAAGTGATCCACCCATCTCAACCTCCCAAAGTGCTGGGATTATAGGTGTGAGCTACCCCATGTGGCCAAAAAAAATGTTTTTTAACAAAAAAAGAGCCCATCATAAAACTGGCCATTTGTAAATACTGGTACAGCAAATTCCTTTGAATATCAAACCACTAAGATAAGTAGGAAAGGCCATTTGCTAGGTAATAGCCTAATAACCATATTTGAAATCTATGAAGCAAAGAAACAGCAGCTCGGGAAAACTGACACACAGGTATAAAGTTACCAAGAGAAAGTGTCAATTGTATTGACTCATCCTAATGACACTGAAAATTTTGTGACAACAGACAGTGGCTAGGTAATCTAAACCAAAATGATTTTTTAAATCTCCAACCAGCCAACAAGTACTAATAATAAACATATGTAAGAAAATGTGAATGAGAGTAGAAATTTAAAAGAATATTTTTTTACTAATGCATTTAGTGAAAACTGTAGAGGCTTGTCTAAGCACAACTTTCTGCCTTCATGTGGATTCATATGGGGAAATGTAATCAATCCCTTACTCAATGAATCTAATAGCAGGTGAAAGGAAGTCTAATGGACCACTGGTACTATAAACTTATACCTAACCTAAATTACTTCCTGTTCTTCCAAATACATTTGATAATCATTCTTTCATTTTTCACATAAAACTGTAAGATTCTTTGTGAAACATAGGACTAATATCCACAGGCCTTTCAGTGTACAGTAAAACAAACAGATCATAAAAGCAATCATAAAAATGCCAGCAATTTTAAGCAGCTGATATAGGTTATAAATTTAAAGGCAAGCTCTCTCTCTCCTAACAGTTTTCTGTCTATTGTCGACTTAAATGGTTTCAACATGAACTGAGTGTCTGCTAATTTTAAGGGAAGTTTGTGTGCAGTCCTTAATTATTCTTACAGCTTAAAATGCTAAAGATGGGGGAAAAAATCAACTGACTGATCCAATAGGGAAGAAAGGCAGGAAGGAAAAATAAAGGCAGGCTGGCTATTCTTTGACTCTCCCATTTCTTTGGACTGTAGTGTTAGAAACTTGATGTGAAATGAGACATGCGTGTTTTTTATTAGAGCATTTTAACATACCATTACTTCATAATCAGGACCCAATAGGTTTTCCCATCTGGATTTCAGCTCATTTTCTGGAGAGTCTGGGGCTTTTTCTGGATATTAAAAAAAAGAGAGAGAGAGAGAATGTTGAAACTACTGTGAGCCAAACACACTTAACTGCTAAATTCTTCAATAACAGTCCAGTTTCAGTAAGTAAAGGGGAAATGAATAAAAAGGAAAATGCATTAACTTAGGTCTACTAGGTAAAGTAAATCAGAGGTGACTTATAAAACTAACATAAAATGTAAAGACCAGCTGTGACCAAATTACGAAAGAGCTTTTTTTGTTAAGGGATATTTTAAAGGAAAGAGAACATGATGAGTTATACATGAAATTTAAATTATATACAGTTTATATGTAAACATCCTATAGTTTACAAGTAAAATGCATCTGGCTTTGCTTTATAATACATTAGGACATAGAAGGATTTAATTTAAATGTTAATCACTTCAAAGTAGTTCCATTCCAGCTGCCCACTAGAAAAGTAAAAACTTATCAAGATATCTTTCCTATCAGCAGCGCATATCAACACAATACAATCAGACTTTTCACACGGGTAGCTACAAAGGCTTGTCTGGTTTAATTCAGTCAAAGTTCCATGAGCTTTAAGACAATAGAAACTCTGGTTTCACACTAGTCTTTTGTTGCTTGGTTATTAAGATATTTGTATCTTTATGACTTTCTTACTTGAGTGTAATACTGTCTGTGTTGCATAATTTTATACAGCCAAAACAGATTTTAAGTGTCTTGCCTGTCCTCCACATGACTGTAAGCAGAAGCTCAGTGCATGGTGCATAGTATGAATAATGTCTAATAGGCAAAAGTCAAAGTACTAAAACTGAAGTTATAACTTATACCCATAGCAGCAGCAGAAAATGAACAAACTTCTACGTTTTTTAACTTCAAGAAAAACTGTCTCAATATTGCCTTAAGATTAAACAAGTCACAGAACAGTTATCGCAACTGATATAACCATCTGCCTAAAATCAAATGTAACTTGCAGTATCAGTTCTTTTAGTCTTCAGCATGGACAGCTCATCTTGGATAAGCATATAATGTTCAATGACATAATACAAATCATTAAGCGAAACAGGCTAACCTCAAAAATCAGTGACTAACACTAATGAACACTAAAGAACTTAAATTACTACATTTATAAAAGAACACCCGTGAAATAACTATATTAATTGCTATGCTAGATTTCATTTAGGGGATGACTAACCAAAGATCCTATTAAAAACAAAAAATCAAATTCATTTGGGCTCTGCACCTTTGTGCCTATTCCTGTTAGTATTTCCTTAAGAAATTACATTAAGAGTTCTAACATCTTGCCTTATAAATTTCTTCTTATAAATTTCCAGTAATTTCTTATCTGGTAAACAAATTTGAACAAAATTTGCAATTTATTTGTTGAATTCTAAGCTTAAAAACATGGCTCTCATATGACAGTTAATATATATGTATAATATAATGTTGACATTTCACCAGCAATTCTTTTGACTATATTTTTACCTTTCCGTTGTACAACAAAAACACAGTCATGTGTTTTAAACCACAGTACAAAGGCCTAAGTGCTAGAGAAAAGAGATATACTTTCAGCAGCTCAATAAATCCTAGGTTACACAAAATGATCAAAAAATGAATAACATGATGATCTGAAACAATTATTCCAAAGGCAAAAAGAGAGCTAACCTCATAGCAGTTAGTAGATTTTGGTTTTACTCTAAAGCTAAAATTATACATATGCAAGAAGAAAAAAATGTAGTGAAGCTGATCCAAATAGCACACATGAAATATTTCTAAAACTGATACTTCCTGGTCAATTGTAGGTATACTCTTTAATTTTTGCAAATATAACTAAAAAATGGTATGTCATTTTTAAAATTTGTATTTCTTTCATTACAAATGAAGTTGATATGTCAGTGTTGTTATTAGCTTTTTGTATTCCTCTTTCGTGAACCATCTGTTCACTGTCTTTACTTGCTTTCATTTTAGCAAGTAGGACTTAATTTAAAATGGGAACATAGTATATAAGATGCCAAGACCGTCACATTGATGATGAAAATCTTGTAGTGCACGTCTTGGAGTTAAAGTCTTAAGTATCAAGAAGTAAAATAATTTCATTGTTTCTATTACTAACATTAAAAGTTGAGTGCAAATTGTATAAAATTAGGTACTTTGATTAGTAAAAAAAAATTGAATGTTTTGTCATTTATTTTATTAAGCATGCCCAGTTAAGCCAAGCTTAGTAAATAATGTTTTTTAAACGTCAGGTAGCATTTAAAATAGAGGAGTATTGTTATCCCTAGCGTGAGTATAATGATGATACGAAAAGCTTTGTCTTGTCATTATAATAAAAAAAAGGAACATTTATTATGGAAAGAATATTTCTAAAACTGTATCTAATTTCAGAATGTACTCGATTTTCATCTGACTTTTTACTGAAAATCTGAGCTCAACTCAGATTTGCAAAGATAAACTGCAATCTACTTGAGTCAAAAAGAACAAGGTAAATTTCCAAATCATAGGCTATTCTTTCCTGACCTGAGACAAGACAAAGCCAAAAGCCAAAACTTCTCAGGAACATGGATGGTGTTAAGTACTCAAGGAGTTTCATTTAGCAGGCGAGGCTTTCCTAGGCACTTTTATGCAGGGAACTGTGTGCAACTGTTACTCAATGAACTTGGAGAGTAGAGTCCACTATAATAGCTAAGGTATCAAAATACAAAGTAAAAGGACAAAGCTGCAAATCAATTAAAAAAAATTAAAGAATAAATGTGTAACAGCCTGGCAATTCGATGCAACTTATAGAAATGTATACATTATTAATTTTTATAATAAAAAACATGTATAATGAAAAAGAAACATATGCTATATGTGTATAAACAGCAATAATCTATAGATATAGACATATCAATGATAATATATAAGCTAAGGTGGTTCCCACCTATAATCTCAGCACTCTGGGGGGCCAAGGTGGGAGGATGGCTTGAGTTTAAAACCAGCCTGGACAACATAGTGAGACCCCATCTCTACAAAAATTAAAATGAAATTAAAAACTTAACATAAGTAAAGAAAAATTAAACAAGAGCTTGGTCTCCAACTGTCACAGTGTTAAAATGTTGATATTGGCTGGGCACAGTGGCTCACACCTGTAATCCCAACACTTTGGGAGGCCCAGGTGGGCAGACCATTTGAGGCCAGGAGTTCAAGACCAGCCTGGCCAATATGGTGAAACCCCATCTCTACTAAAAATACAAAAATTAGCCCAGTGTGGTGGCATGCACCTGTAATCCCAGCTATACTTGGGAGGCTGAGGCAGGAGAATCACTTGAACCCAGGAGGTGGAGGTTACAGTAAGCTGAGATCATGCCACTGCACTCCAGCCTGGGCAACAAGAATGAAACTCCATCTCAGGGTCTGTCGTGGGGTGGGGGGAGCGGGGAGGGAGAGCATTAGGAGAAATACCTAATGTAAATGACGAGTTAACGGGTGCAGCACACCAACATGGCACATGTACACATATGTAACAAACCTGCACGTTGTGCACATGTACCCTAGAACTTAAAGTATAATAAAAAATAAAAGAAGAAAAAAAAAACTCCATCTCAAAAAAAAAGATGTTGATATTAACAATATGCTATTTTATATCTCCAAAATGCCTATAAGATTTCTCACATTATATTAAATACAAAGAGAGAAAATGGTTAACAAATGAAGAAGTCTGTTATTGCAAAGTGAATGCTTTGTACCTACCCAATTTTTCTAAGGCTTGTATGTTGTCACTTTTTAAATTATCCATTCTATCTTTAATTTCCTCCTGTTCACCATCCACATTAGTTTCGGTTTCCACTGCTCCAGTTAGAAAGAGAGCTGGTGGTTTGGGTGGTTCAACAACAGTTCCTAAAACCAAAAAATACATATTTAAAGAAAATTTTTGTAATGTTAACTTGAATTATTACTTGTTGAGGACTATATTTAAGTGAGCATATTTTACTCCTGTTCTCTCATTTCATGACCTTATTAAATCTGAGATAACTTACATATACGATTCTTTAAACCCAAAATGCCATGTGTAATAGATAATCAATCAATTCCTTAAAAAATGAACTTGTTAATAGCATTGAAAAGAATAAGGAACTAAACAATGAGAAGAGAAAAGCAAGGTAAACTCAATGACAAAGAAGGGGTTAGATGCTTTTCAATATAGCCTTGGGAAAAAAAAATGCTAAAGTCCTAAGCTCTTACTGTTCTGGTGGGCAGGAAGCAAGACCTGCAGAATAGCTGGACCAATTGCTATGGGCTCTCCTATGTTCTGGCATGACATCATCATGACACTGACAAACAAACCTACACAGGTAACCTTATTACTTAGAAGGGAGTTAGAAAGAATTCCCCTTGGTGTAGAGATTCCTCATCTTGCTAAATTGAGCTAAGTAAAATAATAGAGGAACTGGAAAGGATCAGGGGCTCATGGCTATAGTCCTAGTGCTTTGGGAGGTTAAGGTGGGAGGATCATATCAGGCCAGAAGTTTGAGACCAGCCGGGGCAACTTAGTGAGACCCAATCTCTACTCCCAAACAAAAAATCTTCTTTAAAAATTAGCCAGACATGGTGACGTGCATCTGTAGTCCTAGCTACTTGGGAGTCTGAGGTGGGAGGATTTTCTGAGCCCAGGAGTTTGAGGCTGCAGTGAGCTATGATCGTGCCACTGTACTACAGCCTGGGTGACAGAGCAAGACCCCGTTTTTTAAAAAAAACATAGGAGTTACTCAAGTTTTCACCGTCAACCATAAGTTGCATAAGAGTGATTCTACGTTGTGTTTTAAATAATTACACATCACTTATAAAGTATTCTTATAAAAAATAATTAAGGCCAGGCACGGTGGCTCACGCCTGTAATTCCAGCACTTTGGGAAGTCAAGGCAGATGGATCACTTAAGGTCACGTGTTCAAGACCAGCCTGGCCAACATGGTGAAACCCTATCTCTACTAAAACTACAAAAATTAGACAGGCACGATGGCGCACACCTGTAATCCCAGCCACTGGGGAGGCTGAGACACGAGAATCAAGAATTGCTCATTCACAGATACTGGGTATCCCTACATTCAGTTGGTGTGGTAAACTGAAGCCAAGAGCTCTTTCAGAGCTATTAAACACCATTATAGGGAAGGATTCCAAGATGGCCAAATAGGAACAGCTCCAGTCTATAGCTCCCAGCGTGAGTGACACAGAAGGCAGGTGACTTCTGCATTTCCAACTGAGGTACTGGGTTCATCTCACTGGGACTGGTTGGACAGTGGGTGCAAGCTGAAGGAACGCGGGGCATCGCCTCACCCGGGAGGCACAGGGGTCAGGGAATTCCCTTTCCTAGCCAAGGGAAGCCGTCACAGACACTACCTGGAAAATCGGGACACCCTTGCCCTAATACTGCACTTTTCCAACGGTCTTAGCAAATGGCACACCAGGAGATTAAATCCCATGCCTGGCTTGGCTGGTCCCACACCCATGGAGCCTTGCTCACTGCTAGCACAGCAGTCTGAGATTGAACTGCAGGGTGGCAGCGAGGCTGGGGGAGTGACGTCCGCCATTGCTGAGTTTTGACAAGGTAAACAAAGCGCCTGGGAAGCTCCAACTGGGTGGAGCCCACTGCAGCTCAAGGAGGCCTGCCTGCCTCTATAGACTCCACCTCTGGGGGCAGGGCATAGCTGAACAAAAGGCAGCGGAAACGTCTGCAGACTTAAAAGTCCCTGTATGACAGCTTTGAAGAGAGCAGTGGTTCTCCCAGCACGGAGTTTGAGATCTGAGAACAGACAGACTGCCTCCTCAAGTGGGTCCCTGACTCCCGAGTAGCCTAACTGGGAGACATCTCCCAGTAGGGGCCGACTGAAACCTCATACAGCTGGGTGCCCCTTGGAGACGAAGCTTCCAGAGGAAGGATTAGGCAGCAATATTTACTGTTCTGCAATATTTGCTGCTCTGCAGCCTCCACTGGTGATACCCAGGCAAACAGGGTCTGGAGTGGACTTCCAGAAAACTCCAGCAGACACGCAGCTGAGGGTCCTGACTGTTAGAAGGAAAACTAACAATCAAAAGGAATAGCATCAACATAAACAAAAAGGACATCCACACCAAAACACCATCTGTAGGTCACCATCATCAAAGACCAAAGGGAGCTAAAACCATACAGATGGGGAAAAAACAGAGCCAAAAAGCTGAAAACTCTAAAACACAGAGTGCCTCTTCTTCTTTCTCCAAAGGATCGCAGCTCCTTGCCAGCAATGGAACAAAGCTGGACGGAGAATGACTTTGACGAGCTGACAGAAGGAGGCTTCAGAAGATCGGTAATAACAAACTTCTCCAAGTTAAAGGAGGACGTTCGAACCCATCGCAAGGAAGCTAAAAACCTTGAAAAAAGATGAGAAGAATGGCTAACTAGAATGAATAGTGTAGAGAAGACTTTAAATGACCTGATGGAGCTGAAAACCTTGGCATGAGAACTACGTGACGAATGCACAAGCTTCAGTAGCCAATTTGATCAAATGGAAGAAAGGGTATCAGTGATCGAAGATAAAATAAATGAAATGAAGCAAGAAGAGAAATTTAGAGAAAAAAGAGTAAAAAGAAACAAACAAAGCCTCCAAGAAATATGGGACTATGTGAAAAGACCAAATCTATGTTTGATTGGTATACCTGAAAGTGATGGGGAGAATGGAACCAAGTTGGAAAACACTCTTCAGGATATTATCCAGGAGAACTTCCCCAACCTAGCAAGGCAAGCCAACAATCAAATTCAGGAAATAACAGAGAACGCCACAAAGATACTCTTTGAGAAGAGCAACCACAAGACACATAATTGTCAGATTCACCAAAGTTGAAATGAAGGAAAAAATGTTAAGGACAGTCAGAGAGAAAGGTCGGGTTACCCACAAAGGGAAGCCCATCAGACTAACCAGAAGATCTCTCCACAGAAACTCTACAAGCCAGAATAGAATGGGGGCCAATATTGGACATTCTTAAAGAAAAGAATTTTCAACCCAGAATTTCATATCCAGCCAAACTAAGCTTCCTAAGTGAAGGAGAAATAAAATCCTTTACAGACAAGAAAATGCTGAGAGATTTTGTCACCACCAGGCCTGCCTTACAGGAGCTCCTGAAGGAAGCGCTAAACATGGAAAGGAACAATCAGTACTAGCCACTGCAAAAACATGCCAAATTGTAAAGACCATCAATGCTAGGAAGAAACTGCATCAACTAACGGGCAAAATAACCAGCAAATATCATAATGACAGGATCAAATTCACACATAACAATATTAACCTTAAATGTAAATGGGCTAAATGCCCCAATTAAAAGACACAGACTGGCAAATTGGATAAAGAGTCAAGACCCATCAGTGTACTGTATTCAGGAGACCCATCTCATGTGCAGAGACATACATAGGCTCAAAATAAAGGGATGGAGGAAGATCTACCAGAAATACAAACTAACATCAGATAATACTATAAACACCTCCATGCAAATAAACGAGAAAATCTAGAAGAAACTGATAAATTCCTGGACACATACACCCTCCTAAGACTAAATCAGGAAAACACTGAATCCCTGAATAGACCAATAACAGGTTCTGAAATTGAGGCAATAATTAATAGCCTACCAACCAAAAAAAGTCCAGAACCAGACAGATTCACAGCCAAATTCTACCAGAGGTACAAAGAGGAACTGGTACCATTCCTTCTGAAACTATTCCAATCAATAGAAAAAGAGGGAATCCTCCCCAGCTCATTTTATGAGGCCAGCATCATCCTGACACCAAAGCCTGGCAGAGACACAACAAACAGAAAAAGAGAATTTTAGACCAATATCCCTGATGAACATCGATGCAAAAATCCTCAATAAAATACTGGCAAACCAAATCCAGCAGCACATCAAAAAGTTTATCCACCACAATCAAGTTGGTTTCATCCCTAGGATGCAAGGCTAGTTGAAGATGTGCAAATCAATAAATGTAATCCATCATACAAACAGAACCAAAGACAAAAACCACGTGATTATCTCGATAGATACAGAAAAGGCCTTTGACAAAATTCAACAGCCCTTCATGCTAAAAACTCTCAATAAATTCGGTATTGATGGAAGGTATCTCAAAATAATAAGAGCTATTTATGACAAACCCACAAGCCAATATCATAGTGAATGAGCAAAAACTGGAAGCATTCCCTCTGAAAACTGGCACAAGACAGGGATGCCCTCTCTCACCACTCCTATTCAACATAGTGTTGGAAGTTCTGGC